TGCGTCTTATATGCCGGAGTGTCTTATATGCCGAAAAATACGGTACTATTTATTTTAATTTTAATTTTAGAAACAGATACACAACAATATAGTAATCCATTTGTCTTGAAATAAGAACATTAGGGAACACTAGGGAATTTCCTATCTCCATATAATCCGCCCTGTGCCCTTAGGTCCTCTGGGAGGAAGTTGCTTCAACCAATAAGAACTAGGCTGGTAGTGACCTCCCAGAGGGCCTTCTCTGCCGTGGCCCCCAGATTATGGAATGCCCTGCCGGAGGAGGTCCGTCAAATAACCAGCTTAGATGGCTTTAAAAAGGCCATCAAGATGGATCTCTTCCGGCAGGTATTCCCGGAATAACATATTCTTCTCCCCCCGCCACCAAATAGTTTCTTCCGGGATGTTTACAGTGATTGCTGTCTGCCCATGTTAGATATTTTTTGTAATTATGATTTTAATCTGTATAGTTCATTTAATTCATTTTTAAGGGGGGGTTATTTGTTATCAGTTGTATGGATGTATTTTTAAACTTGTAAGCCGCTTTGACAGCTTCGGCTAAAGGCGGGGTATAAATAAGGTTTTATTTATTTATTATTATTATTTATAATTCAGGAGAAACACCTATCTTCAGAGACCTGTGCAAGAGTGCTATAGAACAGATTTCAAGGTGATGGATGTTGATCATGGAGTCCACCCCCCTCCCCACCTTCTATTATTGCAAGCTGCCCCAGGATAATTTGACTGAAAAGGAAGTGCAAAACATCAAAATAAAAATAAATTTGATTTCATTGCTTGCTCATGGATTCAGGTAAAAACCCACTAGGTGGGCAAAAAACTGGAAGAGAGACCCAGCTGAGTCAGAGCTGACTCAAGGAGTATTTTCACACTATTGCAACCTTAGTTGTTAGAAAAAGCCATGAAGCTAACTTAAGTCAAGCATCACTGCTGACATGTTCCTTTGACTGAGTGCTCTTAGGACTGGGGCAAGAGGCTGGAATGCAAGGTCTTCTAGGTGTTCTTGGGCTACAGCTTCTATCAAACTTGACAGGTTCTCTGAAGAGGCCAGCCACAGATGCTGGCGAAATGTCAAAAAGAAATTCTTCTAGAACATGGCCACACAGCCTGAAAAAACCCACAAAAAAACAAGGTACTGCTTGGCAATGACTGAAAGTATAGTCCACCAATATGTCAAAAGCCAACAATTTCTCACAGCTCTCTTAATGGCTTATCTTACAAGCAACAGAACAAAGAGTTTGTCAGAAAGTGCCAGACTAC